TTCTGGTTAGCAGTCAAGTGCTTTAGCCACTATGCTACCAGAGCTCCATACAGTGGAGTATTATTCAGCCTTAAAGAGAAATGAAGTCCTGATACGTGCCACAACATGAATAAACCTTAAAGATCATGCTGAGAGAAATCAGTTGAAAAAAGACAAATGATTGTACTTTCTCACCTATATGAAATAAGCAAATAGGTAGAAACCAAATCTATTAGTAGTTACCAGGGGTGGGAAACCCACCAGCCACTCCTCGGAAGGAAGGTTGGGCAATCTACTTCCCTAGTGATACCGCCTCGGAAACCCAAGGAGGGGTCACTATGAGTCGGTCCAACTCGAGGGCAAATAACAATAACAGGTGTGTGAGGGAGGGGGAAAGGTGAAGTTCTGCTTAGGGGGCAGTGAGTTTATGTTAATAGTGGCAGGATAATTTGGAAAAGGATAGCAAGAAAGGTTCATAATTTAAAGAATGTAATCAATGTCACTGAATTATACATAAAGAAATTGTTGAACTGGTGTATGTTTTGTTGTGTATATTTTCACCATAATAAAAAAAATTTGACGTATTTTACATTCTTTATTTCATACATCAGAATTCGGTGTATTTTATACTTAGCACACATGTCAATCTGAATTAGCCACACGTCAAGAGCTCAACCGCTACATGCAATATTATAAATAGCATTTTCACTAAGGCTCCTTGATTTATAACTAGATTATGAAGAGTCTTACATTTGGATTTTATCCTACAGAAGTGCTACTAAAAACATCTGAGTAAAGAAATTGTATGATGTAATAACTACAATAACTAATCCTCACTAAGTACATACTGTACATGAGGCACTGTTCTAAATGCTTTATATGCATAGCTGATCTACTCATAGGAGCTCTGGTAGCATAGTGGCTAAGACACTTGACTGCTAACCAGAAGGCTGGTGGTTCAAACCCACCAGCCACTCCTTGGAAGGAAGATGGGGTAATCTACTTCCATAGTGATACTGCCTCGGAAACCCAAGGAGGGGTCGCTATGAGTCGGGTCTGATTCGACAGCACATAACAAAAAAAAACAACAACAATCTAATCATAAGCCTATGGAACAAGTATTATTATTATTTTCATTTTACATGATAGTATTATGAAAATTTGGTGGCAGTGTGCAGGACCCATTAAAGACAGACTGGCAAGAGTTAGGGTCACGTTTATTTATTTACTTACATCCCACTTTGACACAGGTGGCTTATGAGTTGGAATTGACTGGACAGCAGTGGGTTATAAGAATATAAATAATTAAATAAATAACCTGAGTTGAAAGGACAAAAGAAGAAAGAACATCTCTGCTGATGTGGTTCGATCCCTAGATGTTAGCATGTCTATGAGTTTTTTCATTATTTCATTGCAAAAATAATACCAAAAGAAGAGAAATTCAAAGTAAAAAGTTTCCTGTAACCTCACCATCTAATCAAAACAATTATTTTCATTTACCTATGTTGAGTCCTTATTCATAGCCATATTCAATTTTTTACATAGTCGCAGTAATTCCACAGGTGCTACTGATCCTCAACATTATGCCACAATACTTTTTTTTTATATTACTATTACAGTCTTATTTTCTTTGTCTCCACTTTCCTGGGCTCTAACTAATGTTAAAAGCCTACCGCATTTCTCCGCATCTTTGTATAAGTTCCTCAAAACATATTCAAATATATACACACATATAACGGGTGTTGGTGTGACAGTGGTGGCAGGTTTTTTTTTTCTTAAAGTAAGATCATCCCAAATTAATTTCGGACCTCTGCCATGAGATGATGGCTATACTAAGGTCTGAGGCTAAAACTCCACTGTGAATCAAAAGTAACCAGGACACCAGGAATACAGCCTGTTATTCCTGTTAACTCTCCACTGAAAACTGGGAATATTACTTGGCAAACAGTTTCAGAATAGAATGTAATTTTGTTTGCCTACAGGTTTTGTTTGCTGCCTAGAAAGCCAGGTCCAAAAGAATTCTGAGAATGGATGCCTACTCCAAACAAACTTTAGAATCATACATATCCTCCCTACAGTCACACAAGGAGGCTCTCATGACTGTTTTGAGGTCACATGTCCCCAGTGTAATGATTACTTTGTGACTTTAAAAAAACTTCAGAAAAGTATGTACAAATAAGATGTGCCATCACCCAATTTTTTAACTATTGAATATGTCAACCAATTTTTGAATTCTTACTGAATTTCCTTGTATTTTCTTATATAAAGTCTTTGAACCTTTTCCTCTTTGGATCACTTAGTTCAGAATCCTCTGGACTTTGTGAGTCCTCATTGCAAATTGCCTTACCCCTTGTGGTGGTTATGTTTTTGTGTCAACTTGGCTGGGCCTGGTTGAGTGGCTGGGCAGCTGATGGTAGTTATTCCCCATGATGAGACTGGCAATCAACTCCATGGTGGGATCTACCACAAGCAGCTGAGTAGCTGTCTCTGGGACGTGGTCTGCTTCCTGTATATAAGGAGAAGCTTTGAGAATGGTCTCTAGCTTATGGCACGCTTGGACCCTGCAAGTAGCTGTGTCGTTGCTCAGCAGCCTGCTATGCTCTGCCGACCTTGGGACTTACAATGGACTTAAGTTAATGGCCTGCCTTGTGGTTTGGTAACATCAGGACTATGTCTTTTGACTTGTCAACCTTGGGGCTTCTCAGCCTCAGCAGCTAGCAGCTGTCTGAGTGAAGAAATGCCTCTATCTCCAGTGGGCCAGGAGCAGGAGGCAGAGCTGGACCCCAAGGTTGAGGGGCTTTCACCCAGCCCCTACAGCTTCGCCCTTTGAACTTGGACTTAAAGCCTCAAATTGTAAGAATAAACCTGTTTGTTAATGCCATCCCATTTGTGGCATATTTCTCGTTAGAACGGCACCAGGTAACCAGAACACCCCTCAAGAAAAGCTCTAAATTTCAATCAGACTCTGTCATTTTTGTTCTATGTCAATGGGATCATACTATGTTATCTGTTCACAATGATTTCCTCACTTATTATTTCATGGCTATCACTCCACTTTAGCAGAAATAGCTCTAACCCATTTATTATAGCTTTATCATATTCCACATATAATTTATCCAACAATCTCTCTAATGATGGGCATTTAGTTTTTTATTTTCTCCAAACAATGCTGCAGTAAACATCCTTCTTCTATGCTGATTCTATTACTAAAGGACAGATTCCCAGGGTGGAGTTCTTTTAGTTCTTCAAATATTTTGAGTTCTTTGTCACCCCAGAACCTCTGTACATGCTACTTTCTCTTCCTAAAATGTTTCATATTTCATATAATAAGCTGTAATTTTATATTTATTTATATAATTATTTATCTCTTCACAGGGAGCTCTAGTGGCATAGGGCGTAAGGTATTTGACAGCTAACCAGAAAGCTGGCAGTTCAAATCTACCAGCCACTCCTCAGAAGGAAGACTGGGCAATCTACTTCCATAGAGATACCACCTCAGGAACCCAAGGAAGGGTTGCTATGAGTCAGAATCAACTCAACAGCAGTGAATTTGTGTTTTTGTTTGCTTGCTTGCTTTTTGGTCTCTTCACGCAAGTGAGAGATCCTTGAGGGCTAAATCTTACTCATCCTTTAGGTCTTACTTCAGCTTGCATATGCTTGTTTGTAGTTTTCTGTAAACTCCAATCTAAAGCAATCACCCCTATCATATTCTTTCATGGACTCTCAACTTTTCTTCCTTAGAAATGATCATAGTTCATAATGGTATACATCTTTGTGTAGTTATTTAATGTCAGTCTCCTCCTTTGAACGTTAAGCTCCAGGATGGCACATCTATAGCCCTTACCCCTAGAAAAGCACGTGGCACATGAAAGGTGTTCAGTAAATGTCTGTTATGTAATGTAAGCTTTATATGGTTTCCAAGGCTGAAAATCTTTATGGATGCACACTGCCTATTTTTCTCTTATGGAGCAGCTGGTGGGTTCGAACCACTGACTTTTTGGATAGCAGCCAAATGCTTATCCACTATGCTACCAGAGCATTAAGAAGCTTTAAAACTCTTGATAGATCCTTACTGACTACAGAGCAGAACAGTTTGATTTTTTTTTGAAGACTCTTCCCATCTGGGCTTAAAACTATTTCAAAAACTACTGACTTGAGAACTCCTCCCTCCAGCTAAGTGAGGCTTTCCTCAAAGCATCACTGTCATTTCCTTTTTCACCTGTTATCCTTTGTGACCTGTTCTGCATCTAAAACTTTTTTTCTCCCAGGACTCAACTCCATTCCCACTTCCCAAATGAAAACTTAACCACCCTTGCTCATAGTTAATTTTTCCCTCTTCTAACTTCCATCACTTGTCTAGGTAGGTAGCTTATTTTATTTAATACTTTATTAGGGCAAAGTCATTTTTTTTTTTTTCTGAACTACCCCCAACACATACAAACTTAACACATTGGGCTCTTCTTCCTGTCTCTCAAAACCTCTATCCAATCAAACTGGTTGCTGAAGACTAAATGCCTGGATGCCATTATCTTTCATCACTCACTATTTTATACACACATACAATGTATTGGACACATACAGTGGCTAATTGTGGTGCTAAGTCCTTCACAATGCATTATATATTTTAGTCTCTCCCTTTCACATCCAACTGTTCAACTCTTGTGAATTCTACCCCACAAATGTTTCTCAATTCCATCCTTTCTTCTTCATCCCAGCATTACTGTCCTATTGCAGGACCTTAACTTTGGTCACCTGGACTTTTGCAACAGACCCATAACTGGAACCACCGCATTCAGTCTTACTCCTTCCCAATCCATTGCCTCTATTCCTGAGTGATGTTTTGGAAAACAAATCTGACCTCATGCTCCTCGTTAGGCTCTCTGTTGCCTTCAGCTTAAAATCCAAACCCTTCAGCTTGGCAAGACCCTTTAGCACCTGTCCCAATTTGCCTGTACAAGATTAATCTCAACCAGTTCTTCGATATGCCAATGCATTTTCCCTCGTGCCCTTTGACTCTTTACCTTGTGAATACCTTCTCTTTCAAGATCCACCTCCAAAGTCATTTCTATCAGTAACTGTCTCTGGCACTACTGAGCAAGACTGATTGGGCCTTCACTGTGTTTTCACATTGTTGTTGTTGTTGCTATGTGCCCTGGAGTCGGACCCAACTCTTAGCGACCCCCCCTTGAGTTTCCAAGGTGGTATTGCTACAAAAGTAGATTGCCCAACCTTCCTTCCAAGGCTGGTGGGTTTGAACCACCGGCCTTCTGGTTAGCAGCCAAGTGCCTTAGGCACAATGCTACCAGAGCTCCCTATTTCACATTATTCTAATATTACTCTCATGTCTCCTCTTCCCCCAACATTGTAAGTCCTTAAGCACAGAACTGTCTTGCTCATTTTTTAATTCTGTATTCTCAGAGACAAAACCAGGATCTAACATAGAGTATATAATGAACAACAATCCCTTCAATAGAATTATTAGGATTTAAAAAAAAAAAAAAAAAACGTTCCTGAAGCATGGGACATGGCTGGGCAAGGTACTCGGGCCACCATCTGACTCACGGAGGCCCCAGGTGACAGCGTAGAACTGCCGCATAGGGTTTTACGCAGATCACCAGGTCTTTCTGGAGCAGAGCTGCTGGGTGAGTAAGAACGCAACCCTTTTAGGTAGCAGCTGAGCTTAACCGCTGCGCCAAGAGGGCTCCTTCTTCTCCCAGGAAAGCCTGGCGAAGTTGTTTTTATAGGAGCCTTCCCAGGCGAGGCACTCACCTCAGAGTAGGGCCAACCCGTCAGACTGGACAGAGAGCAGGAGCGGCCCTGACTTCCAGTTAAATTAACAACTACGTCTGGGGTACCAACCCGGGTTATTAGTGGTACAACTGACTGACTTAGAGTGAAAGCAGATTCTGAGGGTCATGGTGGGCCCACTAAGGGTAGCGGCTGCACTTGATTGACAGACTAACCGCGCGGGTTGTAGTGGCTCCCCATCGAGTCCCTAACGGACCAAAGGCAGGAAGAAACGATGGCGGGCCTGGTCCACTCCGAAAGGAAGGGAGGACAACAGAAAATCTGCGATAAACCGAGGGATGGGCTTCGCGCCTCTCCTCACGCGGAGGTTGATGGGAGCCGGACTGAGCCCCCGCGAGCCTCCTAGAATGCGCGTGCGCGGCAGTCCCAGTTTTTCTCTCCTCCCGCCTCTCGAGTGGCCCATCCCACATGGTTCCTGCCTATCACTAGAGGTGAGAACTTGGCCGAGTGCGCGTGCGCATCCATTCCTCCTTTTCTTTTCCCCTAGTTCTTCCTCTTTATGGCCCCTCCCCTTTACCAGGCGTCGGCACGAGTCTTCCTGAGTGCGCGTGCGCGGCTTCTTCGTTTTCCCCGCCCCTCCCGCTCGCAGCCTCTCTTTTTCCCCCGGTGCCGGCGCTAGCGGTCCTGGTAGTACACTTGCGCGCGCGCGAATCCGCCCCCCCTAGTCACGTGCGCCCCTACTCCGGGTTTCTCAGCTACCGTCTTCCTATCTCGGATTCCCGAAATCCTGCGTTATGGCTGCCGCCAAGCCCAGCGCAGCTTCTCTCTCTCTGCTGTTTCACCTCCTGGGCTTTCTGCTTCTCTCCGCCCCGCAGGGAGGCAGCGGCCTGCACACCAAGGGTGTCCTTCCCCTGGATACTGTCACTTTCTACAAGGTAACGAGGGCGGGGGACAGACGGCGCGAAGGAGCAGCCGGAGCGCCTGGGGGAGTCGCATCTGTGGGGAACTGGGGGACGGAAGGCGAGAAAGAGGTGGTTTGAGCTTCTAGCCGGGTAGTACTGACGACCGTCGTGCGTCTTTTCATCCTCCCAAGGGCCTGGTGGATTCTGGGCCGGGACGTATCATGGCCACAAGGCATACATGGTCCACGGTGTCCCCGCTCCCTTGCCTTTGCAGCCTTTATACTTATTTTTCCTTTTACGGATGAGCTGCAAGGATGCAGCGGCGGGAAACTCTTGCTCCTGCGCCTCAGCTATGGGGTGAGGGCGGTGCCGGGCGAGATCCAATCCTCGAGTCCCAAGTGGGAGCCCCTGAGGGCGGTGCGAAGCCCACGCCGCCGAGCTCCGGACTATGGTGAGGCGGGTGGGGCGGTAGAAACTCGGCGTGTTATTTATCGTGCATTTCTGCGCCCCTTTTCCCCGGCTGTGCAATATGCAAACAGTGTTCAAATATCCTGCCTCTCCCAGCGTTTAGAATAAGCTTCACTTCAGCCACCCTGTAGGTGCTGGGTGCAAAATGAATGAGATCGAGGCAGCATGCAAGGATTTGCCACCACCCTCCCCTCCACCTTTATAAAATTTTGGATTCTGGCCTGCATAAGTGAAAATTGGCATTGTTGGAGCTTGATTGCAACGTCGCAGTCCCAGCCCCCACTCCTTGCACCTGCCTTCACCCTCTAGGAGCTTTTAACTTCCCACGAGATGAGATGAGATACGTGTCGAGAGAGCTAGTGGTTTTCTTTTTTTGTACCCCTTGTGGGGAAATGAAACCAGAAGTGAAGCTCTGACTCTTTCAAGTGGTTGAACCTTTCCTCTTTTCCAGAGGGTTCCTTGTCATGGATATGGAACCTGTGGCTAAAACAAAGCAAAGTTTCAAGACTTCCTAAGTGTGGGTATGGCTACTTGTTAGGCACACCCCACAGCACCCCATGCTTTGGTGCTTTTATTAGCAGTGACACCCTGACCCCCCCACGGTTATGGGATCACATCACAAACATGGATGGCTCAGAGGGAAACATTGCGTCATAAATGAACTGTTTCCTAATCAGTTATCTCCTCGCCATCTTTACCATTCTCCGTGTTTTCTCTCTCCAGCCATCCAGACGGTTCTCCATATTGTGGCCTAAACCTACATGATCTGACCCTTGCTCCCTTCTCCTGACTGTTGGCTCCCTTGTCTCCTCTACTCTAGCCTCACGGACCTTAGACCTTCCTTCTGTTCTTTGCATATTTCCTAGCTCATTACTGCCTCGGGGCCTTTGCACTAGCTGTTCCTTTTGCCTGGAACATTCTGTGCCCCAATCTTTGCAAGGCTGGTTACTTCTAATCATTCAGACTTAGATTAAATGTTTACCTCCTCAGAGTCTTTCCTTGGTCCATCCCCATCCCCCGCCCCCCACCCCAGTCTAAAGGGCCTGTGACTATCACATTACTGTTTCCTTTTTTTGTAGAGCACTTACCACTGATTTTTTTTTTTTCCCTTGTCTGTTGTCTGTCTCACACTAGTATATTACATACTTGGGAAGAAGTACCTTGTCTGTTTCTTTTGCTGATCATCTACACAACCTAGCGTGCTACCTGTCTGGTAGGAAGTGCTCAATAAACATGTCAAATGAAATGAACAAATGCTTTCTCCAGTCTCTTTCTAAACCATGCGCTCTTCCATCACCATTGAACCAAAAGGGAATTTCCTAATGTTCTCTTGTCCTGGGTCCTTTTCTGTGCTTTGCCTTTTGGTGGCTCCCAGCATCTTTTTGTTTGTTTGTTTCTTGTCCTTCAGCATCACCAGAATGTCAGCACCTTACAGTAAGGGTAAGGGTTCCTGTCTGTTTTGTTCACTGCTGTGTTTACAGCACTTATCACAGGCCTGGACATGATAGGTTCTCAGTAACTTTCTACTGAATAATGAATTCATCTGCACTTTAAAGAAGCAAGGAGCTCTGGTGGCACAGGTTAAAGGCTCAGTTGCTATCCAAAAGGTTGGTGGTTCAAACCCACCACCCACTCTAGGAGGAAGATGGTGTGTAAACTCTGGAGGCCGTTCTGCTCTGTCCTAGAGTGTTGCAGTGAGTCAGAAACAATGGGAACAGGTTTGGAGTTGTTTTTTTTTTTTTTTTTCCTTATATATAAGAAGCAAGTTGCTGGCAGTGGTAGTGCTGATTCCTCAAGGATGAGGAAAGGAAAGAATTTTCTAAAGTAATTAAGAAAAAAAAAGGAAGAAAAGAAAAAAAAAAAAATTAATTATGCAAGAGATTGGCCATTCAAATCATTCTTCTTTATGCTGGTAGCTAAGAATAGTGAAAGATAAAAAGGGGGAGGTCCTCAATAACATTTCAGTATTAGCCCACTGTCTGATTATTAATATTATTACCTAATAGGAGCATAGGCCCCCTTGGAGACAGAAATCTTATGCTGTGCTTTTTCAAAATTTCCCCTGGAACATGTAGCCTCTGCCACCAAAGCCTGCTGGGCATTTGCTCACTCCTCAAATGTTTTTGGAGCATCTGCCACAATCCGGGCATTGTTGGCCACTAGGGATGCAATGTCCTTGTCTCTCAACTGTACATTCTAGTGCAGGGGCCAGACGTTGGATCAGGATTCCAGAAATTGGTTAATACGGGGAAGACAAGACAGCAGGGAGTGTGCTACAGAGTTTGATGGAAATGAAGCAGTACTAGATAGTGTGACTGGAGAAGAACATCCCATGAGGAGAGGCCATTTGAACTGAGACCGGAATGATAAAGAGACAGCCATGGAGAGGCCTGGGGAAAGTGCACTCTAGCTGCAGGGACAGCCAGCGCCAAGGCCCTGGGTTGGGAACAGGGATGGTGTGTTAAACTAAAATAAGGTCACTTGGGCCAGAGGGATGTGATCTGATTTATATTTTAAGTCTTCCCTGCTTTTAGGCCCTTAGAGCTCAGACTATATGGGGTCAGTGTCTCCGCCTCCTCCCTTAGGCAGAATTAAATATTTTTACAAACCTAAAACCAAATGGACATCAACACAAACAAGGTCTTAGAATAATACTAAGTTTCTTTGCTTTCTGCTGGAATTAGGTGAGCTTGGGGTAGGCACAGTGATTACCTGTGACCAAAAACACTGATAGTAATCAAAACCAAACAGCCATTACAACAAAAAGCTATGGGAGGAGGGGAAGGAATAGTATTGTTAGGTAACAGCGGTGTGGGTAGAATCCATCAAGACATGTTCACACAGATCCTTGTCTACGAATGTCCGTAGCATTACTGTTCACAGGAGCCAAAAGGTAGAAACAACCCAAAGGTCCATCAACGGATGAAATCCAAAAGGTGGTCTGCTCCCTCCCCGTCACCTCCACCGGCTGCCATCAGGTTGGTTCCGACTCATGGCAGAGACGTGTGTGTCAGAGCAGGCCTGTGCTCCCTGGAACTTTCAGTGGGTACTTTCAAAGTAGCAGCTTGCCAGTCCTTTTGTCCAAGGTACTTCTGGGTGGACATGAGCCCCCAACGTCTTGGATAGCAGCTGAGTGCAGTAAGCATTTCTACAACCCAGAGACTCTTACTCAGCCATAAAAAGGAATTAAATATCAGTCCACGCAATGGCATAGATGAACCTTGGAAACCTGATGTTGTTACAGAAGCTATTCACAAAGGACCACATACTGTGTGATTCCACTTACATGAAACGTCCGGAAGAGGCAAATTCAGGGGAAGAGAGACTTCCAGGGGTGGACAGAGCAGGGCAGTGATTGCTTAGCGGGGACAAGATTTCCTTTTGGAATGATGAACATGTTCTGGAACTAGATGAGGAGGAGGAGTGCACGACACGGTGAATGTACTAAATGCCATTGAATTGTGCACTTCAAAATGGTGACTTTTATGTTTTGTGGAGTCTATGGTTGGGAAAAATAAAAAGGCCCTTGGCCGTGACAGTTGAGGACCCAAAGAGCCAGTCAAAAGGAAGCACGGTCTAGGGAGGAGGGGCCATGGTCCCAAGCCTGGCATTTCAGCAACTTCTATCAGCCCTGCTGAAATTGTTCTGGCTCTGGGCTTCCTAGGCAAGACTTTTTCCACGGTGCCATCTCCTTTGTGGACAGTTCTTTTTCTCATCACCTTTCTGGTTCAGCGGTTTACTGATAGGCCTCCTGGGATGGTGGGCATAAGAGGGGCTGATGTAGGGTATGCGTGGAGTCTCTAAGCATCATTGAAGGGTGACTGGGAGGAGGCCTAGGCACAGCTACAGCTTCTATTCCAGATGTGGCTGGCTGATCGGTATGAATATACCTAGTGGTTTACTCAGCACATAGCATACACTCTCTGTTTAATAAGTCAATGGATGAGTGAGTATCAGTTTGTGAGAGCTTGTCTCCCTCTGGGTTTGGTTCCCACTGTTTCTTAAACAGGGGCACCTTGGGAAGGGGAATTAGCCCCAGAGGTCCCCGGAACCCCCACTTGCTCAGCTCTATGCGCCCTCAGGTCATTCCCAAAAGCAAGTTCGTCTTGGTGAAGTTCGACACCCAGTACCCCTACGGTGAGAAGCAGGATGAGTTCAAGCGTCTAGCTGAAAACTCGGCCTCCAGCGATGATCTCTTGGTGGCAGAGGTGGGGATCTCAGGTATGGACAAGTCCAGAATGACTGGGGAGGGCAGAGCGGGAGGACGCTAGGAAATGAGTCCGTAACTGTCCCCAGCACCTTTCCGTTACAGCCACCCATGAGGATTGAGCCTCAGTGAGTCGATGCCCCTGGCAAGCTTAGCCTGAGTATATCCTAAGAGCACAGTCTCTCAGCTCGTCCCTTCCCTGCCACCCCTGCCCAACATTTACAGTGGGAACTCTGAGCTCTCCTCATGGGGCACTGTTGTCAGAAGGGGTGCCATGTCTCCTAGAGAGTCCCATAGTTGGCACTTCCTCCTTCATTTCAGCTTTTCTGCCACAATTACGGGGTTTGGGCTTTGGTTCAAATCCACTGATCCAAAAGCGGCTCTCAATCATGATGATACCGGTAATGGCTGCTAACATTTATTTAGTGGTTGATAGCCATAAAGATTTGCACAGATGTTGCATTTTCAGTCTTGTCTTGAGCCCCACCTGAGAAGTGAGAAGCATTATCTCCATGCTACACTTGAGGAAAAGTGAAACTCAGGTGGCTTCAATGACTTGGCTCGGGCCATGGGCTAAAAGTGGCTCATTCAGAACTCCCGAGTGTTCATTCCCACGTGCAGTGGGTTCTCACCTACCTCACCTTCCTCCCAGCTAGGATGTCTCAGGTCCCCAGTGAGCATGGCAGTCTGACCCTCACACACCTCTCCAGGGCAGTCAGTCCATTTTGACTCGGTGTTGAGTCAACTCCCCTGGGACTTTTAGGATTTAATAGTAATAATTCCTGATGCTTACCTGATGTTTGCTGTGTGCCAGTTCACTGCTAAGTGTGTTTGTTGTTGTTTCGTTGTTTTGTTTTTTTCAGCACATATTTCATCCTGTGACAACTATGAAGAAAGTACTGTCGTACCATTACCCCCAGTTTTCAAATGACAACAGTGATCCTTAGAGTAACTTGCTCAAGTTCACAGAGCTGTTATGCAACAGAATTAGGACTGAAACTCTACCTACTAGCCAGTGATCGGTGGTGTTGGCCATTTCTCCTTGACAGGGTGTGAGAAATCAATCTTCACGGCACCAGCCCTTGGGACGGCTGCCACCAGTTACAAAGGACGCAGCAAATATTAACAGCTAAATTATACCCTTAACTGGGCCAGCTCTCCTTGCATTTCCTCCCTGGGTCCTCCTAGCCATCCTTGTGTGGTAGAGACCCTCATTACTTGCCCCGCATCCCCTTCCTCAGTAGGCTCCCACCAGGTTGGCCTTTCTAACCCTTAAACACACTCGTTCCTGCCTCACAGCTTGTGCACGTGCAGTCCTTCTCGCCTCGGACACTCTTCCCTCATCTTCATGCAGATGCTCCTTGACATTCAGGCAGGTCCCTCAGCTCCTGATCTCCCCACAGCAAGCATTTCATGTCCACCTGAAGTGGCCTTCTTACCCGTCAATGTCACATCACCCCGTTTTATTTTCATCATGGCCCTGATCCTTTAATTTTTTTTTTCCTTCATATTATCTCTTCTCACCCTTAGACTATAAGCTCCTTGAGGGCAGCGGGCTTGATATTCTTTTATCACAACGAGATCCGCAGCACCTAGAACAGTGTCTGGCACGTAGTGGGCACATAAGTATTCAGAACAACCCCCGTTTTCCGGATTAGAAAAATTAAGTTCAGAGAGGTTAACTGACTTGACAAAAGCCACATGGCTAGAAGTGGCCGAAAAGGGGTTTAAACCAAAGTGTGTATGGGCCGTCCTCGGTTTAAACAATGACACAGCCAAGATTCTTCTTCCCCTCGGCTCAGATAGGCCCCATAGCAATTTCCTGCCGAGTCCCCCATGGCCCCCCTCCTCATCTCTGGTTTGTGTTCACAGATTACGGTGACAAGCTGAACATGGAGCTGAGTGAGAAATACAAGCTGGACAAAGAGAACTACCCAATCTTCTACCTCTTCCGGGATGGCGACTTTGAGAACCCCGTCGTGTATAGCGGGACAGTCAAGGTTGGAGCCATCCAGCGCTGGCTAAAGGGGCAGGGGGTCTACCTAGGTATGCCTGGTTGTCTGCCTGCCTATGATGCCCTGGCCGGGGAGTTCATCAGGGCCTCAAGCACAGAGGCACGCCAGGCCCTGCTGAAGCAGGGGCGGGACAACCTCGCACATGTGAAGGAGACTCAGAAGAAGTGGGCAGAGCAGTACCTGAAGATCATGGGGAAGGTCTTAGACCAAGGTGCAGATTTCCCAGCGTCAGAGATAACCCGGATCACCAAGCTGATAGAGAAAAACAAGATGAGCGATGGGAAGAAGGAGGAACTGCAGAAGAGCTTGAACATCCTGACTGCCTTCCAGAAGAAGGAGGCAGAGAAGGAGGAGCTGTGAAAGGCACTCTAGGATTTGGTTGGGGTGGGGGGGAGAATTACTTGCTTGCTTTGAGACCCTCAGGAGGTGGATAGAAGGGGATAGAAGAAGTGGTACTTGACCTGAAGCCTGAGCCTGGGGTGTGCCTGGACATTGATGAGGCTGCGACCGTGCATGGGACATCTGTAGTAAGTCTGCGGATAGCTGGAGCACCTATTCAGCTGGCTTGTGACATGCCCCCCAGAAGGAATTGGTGCTATAAAGAAGAGTGTGCTGCCCAGATTTCTGACAGGTGTAATTCTGACCTAATTAAAGTTTCCATCTTTTGGTTAAGTGGACTAGAAGCCACTTGGTTTTCTTTTTCAAATGATAGATTATGACCTACTTTTCCCTTTATTTTTTAGTGTAAGCTGTTACGGACTCCACTCAGTTTTCTGTCCTACAGGGTCACTATGAGTTGGGACTGACTGTAGCGGTGGGTTTGGTGTCTTTATTTGGCCACCAGGGTAGCAGACTCTTCTGCTAACACTCTGGAAAGCGGTTCCAGCTCCGAGGCTACCTATTATTATTTCCCACTGGTGTTTAGAGGCAAGTGATAAGACCGTAGATGATTCTAAAATGTGTTGCCCATTTTCTGACCCTCTGTAATTTTTTCCATATTCCCTGAGGTACACAAACTTTTAAGTAAATGTAATTTGGTGGTATTTTTTAAGCTGAATTTAGAAAGCTAATGTCCAATTGAAAACAAAAATGGAACCTTTCCCAAGTAAGTCACTTTGTCAGCCTCAGTCACTCAGCAAATACTAATTTTAAAAAAGTGTCGAGTAGAGCACATTGTACTGGTTTTCATAACTGTTCCCAGGAGTGATAAGTAGGTATTTGTGATAGTAAAGGATGTCTGATGAAGGTTCACAAAAGCATCGCCCCCTTTTCATGTTTATTTGGAAATGTCACTTTCACCACAAACAAAAATTTAAGTTGAACAGAGTGGTTAAATAAAAAAAAATTATTTATTTTCCTCCATTTCAGCCAGATTGGTGTTTAAAGAGTCGTCACTGGAAACAAAAGCTGCAGGTAGATCTTTAAGTGGAACTGGATGGGGAAATGATAGCGAGGCCACCTACTCAGACGACCTAGGAAAGAGGTGTTCAGACCTAAACATCCAGCTGCCCAGAGCCAGTATCAGTCCTCTATGAGGAAAAGATATAACCACTTAGTTTAAACACTTCCCAGTAGTTTCCCTTTTCATTTCAGTTTTAACTGAAATTTTTGGAAGCCCTTTTTGGATATTTCTCATTGGTAAACTTACTTGAGCTGTTCTTTTTTTTTTATTATTTTCCTCCTCTCTAATAGCTAAACAGGATCATTTCTAAAAAAGAAAGTATTCACTGTTTTACAGAAATTAGAGTAAGAAGGGTAAACAGTATTTAGGGAAGGGTGCTAAAACTAATGCAGCCGTGGCAGTCCCGGAATATGGTCTAATTTTGATTCTCAGTTGTGAGAGGAGCTAAAGGCAGGCAGTACAACAATGGACATGTCACTGGATAGACTCAAACAGGGTATAGTAAGACTAGGGTCTTCAACTGAAGAAACATGACTTATGGGAGAGGGCTACCTTACCTTCCACCAGGTACTCTTTGTACCTAGTATTTTCCATCAAAGAGGGGCCCTTGTGTGTGTATACCACGTTAAATGCAGCCTCTCACACTTAAGGCAGATAGATACCTTCCCTCTACTTGTTGTTAAGTGCTGTCGAGTCATTTCCAACTCATAGCGACCCCATGCACAGCAGAACGAAACACTGCCCTATCCCGTGCCAGCCCCACAATCCCTGCTATACTTGAGCCCATCATCACAGCCACCGTGTCAATCCATCTCGTTGAAGGCCTCCCCCTCTTTCGTCGACCTTCCACCCTACCAAGCATGACATCCTCCAGGGAATGGTCCCTTCTTACAACATGACCAAAATAGGCGAGACGAAGTCTGGCCATTCTTGCTTCCAAGGAGCATTCTGGCTGCACTTCCTCCAGGACAGATCTGTTAGTTCTTTTAACAGCCCATGGTACTTTCAGCATTCTCCACCAGCACCACAACTCAAAAGCATCAACTCTTCTTCAGTCTTCTTTATTCATTGTCCAGCTCTCACATGCATACAAGGCGACTGGAAATATCATGGCTTGTGTCAGGCGCACCTTCGTCCTCAAGGAGATATCCTTGCTCCTCAGCACTTGAAACAGTTCCTTCGCAGTTGACTTCCCCAATGCTACACGTCTTCTAATGTCCTGACTGCTGCTTCCGTTGGCATCGACTGTAGAACCAAGCAACGTGAATTCTTTGACAAACTCAATCCTCTCTCCATTTATTGTGATGCTGCTCATTGGTCCAGTTGTGAGGATTTTTGTTTTCTTTATATTGAGACGTAATCCATACTGCAGACTGTATTCTTCAACCTTCATCAGTAGGTGCCTTAAGTCATCCTCACTTTCAGCAAGCAAAGTTGTATCGTCTGCATAGCTCAGGCTGTTAATGATTCTTCCTCCAATCCTGATACCACGTTTTTCTTCATATAGTCCAGCTTCTCGGATTATTTGCTCAGCATATAGATTGAATAAGTGTAGAGAAAGGATACAACCCTGATGCACTACCTTCTTGATTTTAAACCATGTAGTGTCGTTCTATTCGAACGACAGCCTCCTGGTCAAGGTACAGATTCCTCATGAGTACAATCAAGTGCTAGGGAATTCCCATTCTTCTCAGTGTTATCCATAATTTGTCATGATCCACACAATCAAATGCCTTTGCAGAGTCAATAAAACACAAGTAAACATCTTTCTGGTATTCTTTGCCTTGAGCCAAGATCCATCTGACAACAGCTATGATATCCCTTGTTCCACATCCTCTTCTGAATCCGGCTTGAACCTCTGGAAGTTCTCTATCAATAACTGCTGCAAACGTTTCTGAATTATCTTCAGTAAGATCTTACTTGCGTGCGATATTAATGATATTGTTCTATAATTTCCACATTCTGTGGGATCGCCTTTCTTTGGAATGGGCACAAATATGGATTTCTTCCAGTCAGTTGGCCAGGTAGCTGTCTTCCAAATCTCTTGGCATAACTGAGTGAGTGCCTCCAACGGGCAGCCATTTATTGAAATATCTCAATGGGTATTCCGCCAATTCCCGGAGCCTTGTTCTTCGCCAGTTCTTTCATTGCAGCTTTGACTTCTTCCTTCATTACCATTGGTTCTAGATCATATGCCATCTCCTGAAATGGATGCAGATATTTATACTGTGCCTCAGGTGCTATGAAGATTGTCATGAAGACTGTGGACTGACTTCTGGAAGTGAACAAGAACGTAAATTTTAAGGGAATTTCCAGATAACCTGAAGCAAAGGAGATGCGATCCAACATGATCCAGGAACTTGAAAATTAAATGGTGTCAGGTGAAATTTTAATGAACAGATAATGTTAGTTTCCATCCAGTCAGCTCTGATTGCATGGTGACACCGTGTCCAACAGAATGAAACACTGCCTGGTCATGATCGTTGGCATGCTTGAGTCTGTATGTTGCAGCCATTGTTCAGTGCCTTCCAGTGTAGGGGGCTCGTCTTTCATCACTATGTTGGACATCTGTGCTCCATAGGGTTCGCATTATCTAATTTTCAGAAGTACATTGTCAGGCCTTTCTTGCTGGTGTGCCTTGGTCTGGAAGCTCTGCTAGTATCTGTTTACCATGAGTGACTGCTGCTGGTATCGACAGACTGCTGCCATGGCTTTCCAGCAGGACAGCAACACACAAGCCACCAGAACATGACAAAGTGGTGGAACTACAAATAGTCTGTGATAACTGGTTCCACACAAAAAATGTTGGAGATGGAATAGCATCAGGGAGATTGACTAGTCAATAAAGAACCAGGATAGACTGTGGGAATTTGAACGTGGCCATCAAGATTGTGTGAGAAGACCTAGATTTTAGTTCTTCCTGTGGATGCTTAAGTCTTCTGCAGACCTGGATCCCACACTTACCCGAGGGACACCTGGGTAGCCCTATCTGCAGTAACTACTGCCCTCTTATATGTAAAGCAGTACATTTTCTGGTCCTAACCCAGTATGGAAGCTGGAGCTTTCAGGAAAGTTCTGTGCTCTTCACAATGCTATGGGAACCCCAACAATCTTTTTTTTTCCCTTGCCTTTGACATAAATTAAGATATGTATGGACCTGCTTCTGAACTCTCTGTTCTGTTCTACCCATCATTTTTATAAGGAGAATTTGGCTTGTGGGAGCATGGCCACCACTCACCCATCACTGTGAAATACATGTCTGCATCAAGGCAGTGATGCCATCTGAAAACCAGAAACAGGAAGATCTGATCTTCTGATTAAAATCAGGAACTGCAGGGAGTTGTCAAACAATGTTGAGATGGAGTTAATTTGCAACTGACGAAGCAGGCAAAAACGGCTTTCTCCAGCGCTTAGATAAGAGGATTTGGTAAGACAGGAGAAAGGAACCTGGCAGAGGAAAACCAGACAGCTCTTTGACTCTCTTGCTGAGTAAATTCTGACTCTCGGCCTGTGGATTTCAAGTACCCTTGGATGGTCTGTGTCATCAGCCTGCCCGGAATCCTCTAGTAACTTCCCATTGAATTTAGACTAAAATCTCATTCTGGCCTCTGGCTTCAAGGTGCTGACCAGGCCACTCCCCGTTACACTTCCTCCGTTCAGTATGTCTTGGCCACTGGAGCCTGTTGTCACTAGCTAGAACATGCTCAGCAGTGTCCTGCTTGGGGCCTTTGCATTTGCTTTGTTTTGTCCATGGCTGACTCCACAGCCTTTAGGTCAGATGGCAACACCTGAGCGAGCTTACAACCAAGTGTAAAGTGACCCTCTAGGAATACTCTATGGAGCTCTCATGGCACAGTGGTTAAACACTCAAGCAAACAGTTGGTTGTTCAAACCCACCCAGTGCCTCCATGGGAGAAAGACCTGGCCATCTGCTCCCATAACGATTACAGGCTAGCAAACCTTATGAAGCAGTTCTGCTGTCACATGGGGTTGCTATGAGTTGGAATCAAAGGTACCCAACAACAGGCACATTGTCAC